AGGTACAATTCCCAATGAGAAATGTAATTGTGTTGTATACCTACAATGTACCAATAAAAGAATTTAATACAAAAAAAAAAAGAAATAGGCAAGTGAAATGAATAGAATGGCCATCATCAAGAAATCAAATAAGAACAAATGCTGGCAAGGCTCTGGGGAAAAGGAATCCTTTTCTGTTGTTGGTGGGAATGTAAATTAGCACAACCACTATGGAAATTAGTATGTAGAGTCCTCAGAAAAGTAAAACTATTTGACCCAGTTATTCCCCTTCAAGCTATCTCCCAAAAGTTAAAGACATCATATTACAGTGATACATGTGTACCCATGTTTATAGTAGCACAGTTCACAATAGTTAAATCTTGGTAGCAGCCTATATGTCCATCAACAGATGAATGGATAAAAAAATGTGGTATTTATACACTATAACATAATATTCTGCCAAAGGAGAATAAACTTGAGTCATTTATAGGAAAATGGATACACCTTGAGACCATAGTGTTACATAAAATAAATCAGACACACAAGCTTAAATATCACATAGAATAAGTAAAATATAAATAAAGAGCAAAATAAATGATAGACAATAGAAAGAGAAATAGATCTTTCACAAATGGGATGAGGGAGTGGGAGAAAAGGGAGGGAAAGGTGATGGCATAAAAGAATTGAGATGTTATGTGCATGTGCTCCCCACAAGGAATGTAAATATGTACTGTAAAGATATACTAATAAAAATTGATTAAAATAATGGTTAGCTAAGTAAACAAAAACTTCAAAGAAAGCCATAAATACTCTTGTTTTCCTCCATACTTGTCTTCAAAATAAATACTATAACTCAATTTATTTTTATTTCTGTAACCAATTTAGTTTTAAAATATTTAGAAGCCCAATGTGATGGCTCATGCCTCTAATCCCAGCTCTCCAGAGGCTGATGCAAGAGAATTGCTACAAGTTCAAGGCCAGCCTGAACTACATAGTGACACCCTGTCTAAAGAAAATGAAAACAAAATTTAGAAGTTTCTGTTTGTCTATCTCAGTTCTCCTTTGAATGGGTTATTCGTCAGTAATTTTTGTGCTTATATACATGAGCGTTAGTAGCTGGACTAACAAGTTATGGTCAAGGAGTATTTGTCATTTATTACAGGAGTGGATTTGTCCAAGATAGAAAAACATCCAGATACAGCCAACCTCCTTCTAAGACTGGATTTTGAAAAAGACATTAAGCCAATACTCCTGTTTCTCAAGGATTTGGGTTTAGAGGATAACCAGCTGGGAGGCTTCCTGACTAAAAATTATGCTATTTTCTCTGAAGACCTTGAAAATCTTGAGACCAGGTAGGGCATTCAGAGTGATTCTCGTAAGTGGCAATGGGGAATGTATGTGGAAGAAATGTTTTACATCTCTGCTGCATGAGGACCTACAGAGACAATGGACATGAATGCATTTGTTGTTGTTATAGACCTTCTGTGATCTAAATTGTTTAAAACTTCTTTTATTCAACTACCCATTATTATTTTTCAACTTACTGCTGAGTCAGTACTTAACTGATTTTCTTTAGAAACTGAAATAGTTTTTAAAAACACTCCATCAACAAATATCTAAGAGTGCATTTAAAGTCATGAAAGCATGATTGTGTTTTTTCTCTTTCCAATTTTTGATGGTAGATGTTTGACATTCTCTTGGCAAATCTTGTATAATTTGCTTAGTCCTGTACATAAGGTGGCTATTTTCATGGTTCCTTATCTTCTTTCTTAAGTAGCACTTTTGTAAACATCTTTTTACTTTATTTAACAATCAAAGAATTACTGAATCTCTGAATTTTTACAGTGAGACAGTGTTGATCTGCGAGATGAGGGTCCTGCTAGGCCTTGGGAATACCACACAGAACAAAGCAAAGTCTCAGTCCTTGAGTTAACATTTTGAATTCATCATCACTCCCAAGCTCAGATGTATCAGTCTGTAGTCCTGGATTTGCTGAATGGGACACTATCTACCTTACTGCCTGAATCAGAAGTACTGTACAACTTTGGCTTCTCTTTTGGCATCCACGTAAATCACCTGGGCCCAGATCAGTCAGTGCATTTCTCTTCATCTCCCCTTGCAATACTTTGCCTCTGCCCCCATCAGTTCACACCAAGACGCCTGCAGCAGTTTCCTAGTTAGTCTTTACCTGCCAGATTGTCCTCCATGTTAATGTTGAGCCTCCCTGCAATTCAGAGAGCTCTGCCGTTTCTTGAACCCTCATAACCTAATGCATGTTCTCTGAAGTAGGGAAAGAAATGAAAAAATTGTATTGTATACATTGGACAACTTGAGCCCTTATATGTTCAAGGCAGTGGGCTAGATTACGCATGTAAAAGACATGCGTTCTCCTGTCATGGGACATACAGTCTGGTATAAGAGACTGGAGTCACAATGTAGAGGAGAGAGAGTGACCCAGTGTTTTCTAATATAGATGGTATGGTCTGTGATTTTTAAAACTATTACATTAAAAACTTTATTTTAAATATTAGATTTAAACTATTAGATGGAACAATTTTTTAATCACTTACAAAGATATACAGTGAAAATAGGCATCTACTGAAATAGGCAAGGGTATGATAATCATTTAGTTAAACTTAGTTACTGATTTCATGTACTTGGTTTCTTTTAGGTGAAAACATTTCAAATTATAAAATTTTAATTCTTTATAGAATGTTTAAATGAATAATCTGCATTTAAGTTACTCAATTTTTTTTTTTGTTTGGGTGAGCCTTATATTTTAATTGTATTGGAAAAAATCACAGATAACAATGTAGATAACAGTTTTTAAGTAATGTTTGAATCAGATACTGATCCTTGCTGCCAAAAGAGAGAGAATTCATTCTTCTCTCCTACTTCTATCCTTTGGCCTTCTGTCACCCATCTATTGGCAACAGCTACCATTATCAAGATTTTTCTTCTCCTTTTAGGAATATTCTACACAAGTGTTTATGTGGACGATCTCACATACATAACAGTTGGTAGCATTTATATGCACTATTCTGAATCCTATTTCGAACCTTTACACTATCTTGAAGACTTTTTTTTTTTTTTTGGTACCAGGGATTGAACTCGGGACCTTGCGCTTACAAGGCAGGCACCGGAACCACTGAGCTAAATCCCCAGCCCCCATTGAAGACTTTTTTCTAAGTGCTTTCTTTCTTTAACCCTGGTACAGTCCATACTACAGATCTGTCCATTGATAAACATGAAGGGGGTTTCCAGTTGTCATTGTCACAATGATGATGCAGCAACTCTCCCATGCATGCCTCATTTCACATATGGTGTGGACATATGTGATCTATAGGACAAATGTAGAACTATAGGACATATTTCTGGAACTGGAATTCCTTGTTCAAAGGGCACATTCATTTGTAATTTTAATAGATAACTGCCAAATTATCCTGTGTGAGTTTTCCAGTTTATATGCCCCCACAATACACAGAAATGTCAATTTCCCTATTTTCCACATCAGTACAGTGTTATCAGACTTTATACATTATGATTTCTGTTCATGTTATAACTTGATGATAACCATTTATCTGTTATTTTAGAAACAGTGTTTGGAGCAGCAAATGTTGAAACACTTTTCATGTTCAGAGTAGCATTTCATGGGTTGAATTTCTATTTTCCTTTTCTATAAGTTGTATGTATCCCTTCCCATTTTTAAATTGGGCCCTCCCCTCCCTCCCTTCCCCCCTCTCTTTCCTTTTTCTTGTAAACATCCATTTATATATTTGAAAAATTGCTTCTCCAAGGCATGATGCAAATATTTTTCCAAGAGTCACTTGTCTTTTCACTTTGTTTTACTGTTTTTCATTATGTAGCTAAATTTATCAATTGTTTGCTCTCAGGAAGTCTAAGGAACTACTTTAAAGGAGTAATACTGTATTCAAATACTCAGTTAATTATAAAGTAACTAAGTTCTACTATATGGTACAGAGCCATCATAGGGTTTAGGTGTAGGCATGCCTAAATTCAGTTCTATTTTATCACTGATTATTTGGGGATCTAAAACAAGTTATTTGACTTCTGGGAATCTTCCATTTCTTCAAATGTAATTTGGACAGTTTTTCTAAATCACAGGGCTTTTTTTCCTGAAAAGAATTAAACAAGATATCTTGATATATTTTAAGCATTTAATAAAACTATTGCCCCTGGGAGAGAGTCCTTAGGTATGGAACAGGGTGTGAAGGTATACCTGGTTTGAGATTGCTTGTGATTAACACATCTAGTATCTATAACTTTGAGTCTTGTCTCCTCAGGTGTTATATAATGTATATAGTTTTCTGGATCTAAAAAGGACACTTTTATACTCTTAAAACTATTGCTATATTTTTAGATTTTAAAATTCAATCATGTTGCAGTTAAACTTTTATATTATATTCTCATTTTAGTCCCCATAAACCTAGGAAAATTTCTCAGTTAACAAGATACATACTGAAACGCTATAGTAAAAATTATTTGTGAAAATGCATAATAAATATACTAACAAAAAAAAAATCTCTCAGTTATAGCCTTGTTTGAGCACCTTCTTTGGTATATGGAGTTCTCTATTTCTTACTTCTTTAGTTGATATTTTTTCTTTTCTTAGCAAAAAAAAGTCTGAACAGAAGCTGTTTAATTTTCCTCTACCAAGTCATATTAGTCATATTAACTGAAGAAGGAATCTACCCATTAGGGGCTTTCAAAATCATTTTCTGTGTTCAAGTATAAGAGGAAACCATCCTAGAATGTGGAGGCTGTCTGTTCTGTTTTATCCATATTTGGACCATTATTACAGAATGCCTTTACTTATCCTTTGTGTGTGTGTGTAGCCTTTTTGTAAAATACAGTTGGTACTTTGCAAAGTTAGTAAATGTTTGTCATGCGTATGTTTATTATTTCTCTAGGGTGGCTTACCTGCAGTCAAAAAATTTCAGTAAGGCAGACATTGCACAGATGGTCAGGAAGGCACCGTTTTTGCTGAGTTTTTCGGTGGAAAGACTGGATAACAGATTGGGATTTTTTCAGAAGGAACTTGAACTCAGTGTGAAGAAGGTAAAGAATGGAGAGAATTTGTACATTTCCATGTCAGGTACATTTAGTAACTATGAAATCTCATGTGTCTTAACAAACAGCTGACCTTTATAGATCCTGTTCAATCCTGCTAGTGTACAAAAATGAGTTACCCTGCTAGTCTGAACATAAAGCTGCATCACTTTATAATGTTACATTAAGTTGGCTCCTTAAGTTTTGTTTGTAGTTTATTTTTTTTCATATATCCTTGAGTTTATGTACTTCTGAAGTTCTTACCATTTCTCTGACTGAGTAATATTTTAAGTTTTTGTTTCATATTCTTACTAATGCCTTAGTTTTCCAAACTAGTAAAATGTGCACATATAGTAATAATCAGTTGTTTTGTTCACAACCATAGACAAGAGATCTGGTTGTTCGTCTTCCAAGGCTGCTAACTGGAAGTCTAGAGCCTGTGAAAGAAAACATGAAGGTAGGACAGCTTTCCGCTTTTGAGCATTCAGTTTCTTTTTTTTCAAAGAATCAACAACTGAGCTCTCATCTTTTTTTTTTTTTTTTTTTTTGCTGTTTCAACTTTTT